GCCAAGCAGGCAGTGTTCCGGCGTCTCCTCTTGTTTGCAGTGTGGGCAAACTACATTGTACCGCAGAAATTGCAGCCTCGCCCCCACTTTTGAGTTTCTGCAGTGCAATCTCAACAGCACATCACGCGCTCGAGCAGGTGTGGCAAGGGAGTCCCTCTGCATGATGGCCTCTTCCCATTCGATTACTGCTCCTTTCCCCACCCATCTCCTTTGCCCTTTTGCCATGCCAGCCGAGGTCTGCAGAGCCCTCCTGACTTCTCTGAGTGGCACTACTGCACCGTCATTGCACAACTGCGCTTGTAGTAGTCTTGTTCGTGCCTCTCCCATCGGCCCGAGGACTTTTCCCACGCGTGTTGCCATCGGTTTTATCAAGCTGCTCTAGGGTTAAAAAATATCCGTTAGGTTGTCCCCATCGCACAAGCTGTATGTCCCCGCGCCGTCAACTCGGCACACAGCCTCCCCGTCAAGTCCGAATCTGTTGTCCCGCACACATTCCAGTATGAGGGTAATGCGGGCACCCTTCCCTGAGTCCGCAGCATAGGCACCGCCGCCACCACCCCTTCACATGTCGGGACACCCAACAGCAACTCCTTCCACTCCCGCGGGGCCGCATCGAAGGCATTGAGCACCCACAATTCCTCACTGCCATCTCTTCTGTCACCAGCTCCAGACTTTTTAGCACACGCTTGCCGCTGAGCTTCTTACAGACCATGTCGCCCATCCTCATATCTTTCAGGCAGGCCGACCCCTTCTGGTTCCCGAAAGGGCTTGCCCCCCGGAAAGGTATGCGTTCGTTAAATGTTAGCCGCTCCTTCTCCACTTCCCACCTTGTTTTCGGTTCTAGCGGCTTGCTGAAGGGGGATTCCCAGAAAGCTTGAACCATCTCCTTCCACCTTCTGCTCCCATCTGCCCAATGTCTCAGCAGGGATGTATGTGTGAATAGCGTGTCCAAGTCCAGCGAGAAGGCTGCTGCCGTCATCACCAGCCATTCCTTTACCGATTTCGGCTACAGCACCAGCCTCCCAACATTCTGCGCCGCGATGTTGTCGAACATCAACTTGGTCAGATCAACCCCAGCCCTCCCTCTTTCCACGGCTTGCACATCAGCTCGTAGTTCCACAGGACAAAACTCTTCCCCTCTGCCATCTAGGATTCTTTTGACCTTTGTCCAGATCTCTTCTGGCGGCGGGTAGATTTGTGCCTGAAATTGGAAGATCGCCGTGATGTGCCCGTTGATTATGGTAACCGTGGTTGCAGTTGTCAGATACTGCACTTCCCATCTTGATAACTCTACCCTTGCTCCGGCCCCTCCTTGTCCGCCCACTTATACGGAAGGCCCGGCGGCGGCTGCCTGCCTCTGTTGCATCCCAACGGGAGGACTACCGTTTTGCTCCGGTCGACAATCAGCCCCGATATCTCTCCAAATTTCAAGCACTTATGTCGCTGCAGCCAGCTTCTCTTCCCCTTGCAGTAAGAGGGAGGTGTCATCAGCGTACCCCAGGTACACCAATTTCCTCAGCTCCGGCTTCCCGATCCCCAGATTCTTTTTTCGCAATCTCTTAACACAGCGGCTCAACGACGCATAGAAAGAGGTATGGCGCCAGTGGACATCCTTGCAGTACCCCCTTGCTCATTGTTTCTGCTTCCCCGGTCCAACCATTTACATGTATTCTTGTCCCCGCTTCACTCTGCAGGCCCTCCGTCCATCTCATGAAATCCTCCTGGACTCCCATATCCGGCATCGTGCGGAAGAGGAAGCGCCTCGAGATCGAGTCAAATGCTTTTTGGAAATCCACCATGAGCAGCAGCCAATCTTCCCTACCACTAGCTCCTACTTCAATTGCGTCAGCTACCACCACCACCGCGTTCGCCAGCTTCCTACCAGGTATAGATCCGACTTGATTTTCTGATATCACTTCGTGTAGTACCTTTTTTAGCCTACTGGCCAGCACCTTTGCGACCACCTTGTAGAGCGTGCTCAATAGGGTTATGGGTCTGTAATTGCCTAAGTCTTCCTTGCTCCCCTTCTTGTGCAGGAGGACTGTGACCGCCGTGTTGGTGTTCCGCGGCAGCTTCCCGGTGCGCGCGAATCCCCCAACGAAACCCATCGGCGCCGGCCCGAGCAGATCCCGATTGTGTTCAAAGAGTTCTTTTGGGAGTCCGTCATGCCCCGGCGACTTCCCCGACGATAGCTCCCTCATCGCCTTGCGCACCTCTGCCTCCATCCATGGCGCACTGAGTGCCGTCTTGCTGCTTTCCCCCAGCTTCCTCTAGTGGCTTAGGCATGTCAATCTCCGGACTCTCCTGAGCAGCAGCGTCGAAAGCCTCTCTGAAGAAATCATTTGCCACTCGAAGGATCTCTCTTGCCCCGGTGTAGCTGACTCCTTTGTGACTGACTTCTTTTATCTCCGTTTTCCCCTTCCGTATCTTGATTTTTCCTGACAGGAAGCCAGTCGCCGACTCTCCATCCAGCTCCGCCGTCAGGCCTGCCCACGTCTGTAGTTTCTCTTTGTGGCTGTTGTCATAGGCCAAGAGCAATTCCTCCTTCTTCAGCAGAATGGAGGCCGTGCGCTGGCAGTTCGGGTTTGCCATCAGGCGATAGCTGAAGATCCCCACCTCTTTCAATAAATGCGCTCTTGTTGCTTTCACCCGCTCTCTCTCCTCCCTTTCATATGCCTTTAGACACGCTGTCAGGCGCGGCAGCACTGCAATCAGATCACCTGCTGCATCGTCGACCACCTTTCCAATGATTATCCTGACCCCCTTTTTCTTCCCCTGGTTCCCTCATAATCTCCAGATTCCCGGGCCTCGTTCTACCGCCGTAGACGAGTCCAGCGACACCGCCACCGCATACCAGTGACCAGTCATTTTGTTGGTTATCTCCTCATGCCAGATGTCTACCAGCTTGCTCTGCAACGGCTGCGATATAAGCGCGAGGCCGATTCTCGTGCTCATCTTCTTCACCTTAGAGTAAAAGGTGTACTCGCGTCTATCCGGGTACATGAAACAGGATGCGTCCCTCAACGACGTGCGCGGCCAGCAACTAAGCAGCCGCTGGTTCTCTGCTGCGAGCCTGCCTTGTGTCCACCTTATCAACCACCTGATTGAGCCTGCCTTATGTCCACCTTGTGTCCGCAGTAACTGTTCAACCACCTGATTGAGTCGCTGTGTCTGTCCGTTAGTCTTCGGGTAGTAGGTTGAAGACATTGCAAGCTTTGTCCCCAACAGTCCCATGAGCTCCTTCCAGAACTTACTGGTGAATTTTGGGTCTCTATCGGAGATAAGTGTAGCGGGGATGCCGTGGATGGTGATGATGCGGTCGAAGAAGAGGCGAGCAGTTGCTTCAACTGTAGCCGTGGCGTTGGTCGGGATGGACTGACCCATTTTTTAGAACTTGTCGATCACCACGAGTATAGTGACATGCCCTCGTGAGGTCGAAGGGAGTCCCGTGATGAAGTCGAGGCTAACAAATTGCAAAGGCTGCTCCGGTAACCCTGCTTTTTTCTGCTTGCTACTTCATCCGCTGGCACGTGTCGCATGATGTGACGAACTGCTGCACGTCTGCTGCCATCCCGGGCCAGTAGTAATACTTCGCTATCCCTGCTAACGTCTTGTTGCTTTCGAAATGTCTTGCGTATGGTACGTCGTGAAGCTCCTCCTGTAGAATCTGTCGGAGCAAGGCATAGTTTGGTACCCAAATCTTTCCTATGCCCTTCCTTACAGCTAAGTCTTTCTCCCACTGTAACAGCTTCTATTTCTCTGCCGTAGAAATCTCTGCGTCCACGGAGTACCCATGTTGGAATCGACTGTCAGAGTATTATAGCTGATGCATGTTTGTAGGCTATAGTGGGGTATCACATATGGGGTACAGCCTTCTAGGGTTTTATTTGTACCCAACTCTGACTTAGTCATCATCATTCCTGTTTTCCTTGCTTCACATGGTATAGAGCGGGTCCTGCCTTAGGACCGTTTTTTTTAGGGCCCACCGAAGCGCGCCCCGAGGCGCGCCCTTTTTTTTTAGCGACCCCTCGGGTCGCCTTTTCCCTCGCGGCCCCGCTGTCCCTCAGACGCGGCCCCGCCACCTCTCCTGATCGCGGCCCCGCCGCCTGCTTGACGCGGCCCCGCCGCCTCCCCTGACGCGGCCCCGCCGCCTCCCCTGACGCGGCCCCGCCGCCTCCCCTGACGCGGCCCCGCCGCCTCCTCTGACTCGGCCCCGCCGCCTCCCCTGACGCGGCCCCGCCTCTACTGCCGCGGCCCCGCCGTCGCCTCTGACGGCCCCGCCGCTGCACCCTACGGCCCGCCGCTGCACCCTACGGCCCGCCGCCTCTGACGGCCCCGCCGCTGCACCCTACGGCCCGCCGCTGCTCCTGCCGGCCCGCCGCCTCACCTGACGGCCCCGCCGCTGCTCCTGCCGGCCCGCCGCTGCTCCTGCCGGCCCGCCGCTGCACCTGCCGGCCCGCCGCTGCACCCAGCGGCCCGCCGCTTCACCTGACGGCCCCGCCGCTGCACCTGCCGGCCCGCCGCTGCACCCTACGGCCCGCCGCTGCACCCTACGGCCCGCCGCCTGCACCTGCCGGCCCGCCGCTGCACCTGCCGGCCCGCCGCTGCACCTGCCGACCCGCCGCTGCACCTGCCGGCCCGCCACTGCACCGGTCGACCCGCCGCTGCACCTGACGGCCCCGCCCCTGCATCTCCCGGCCGAGCCGCCCCAGCAGCCGAGCCGCCCGGGACCCGAGCCGCCCTGCTGCCGAGCCGCCCGGGAGCCGAGCCGCCCTGCACCCGAGCCGCCCTGCCGCCGAGCCGCCCGGGAGCCGAGCCGCCCTGCGCCCGAGCCGCCCAGCCACCGAGCCGCCCGGGAGCCGAGCCGCTGTGCACCCGAGCCGCCCGGTCGCTGAGCCGCCTTTCTGCATAGCTGCACGACCTGCCCTGCCTGGTGAGCACAGTCCCACTGACACTGCGAGCTCTTTCCCTACTGGTTGCACTACGTCGCTGTCGTCGCCATGGCTACCCCTAGTGTCCTAGCTTTTGACGCTGAGGGTCGCGCCATTGATTTTGAGGTCTGGTTAGACGACCTGCAGCTGTTCTTACAGTGCGACAGGGCTGACGACCTTTCTCTCTTTGACCTCACCTCTGGCGCCTCTCTTGCTCCTGCTGCTGATGCTGATCCCACTGTCCGCTCTAAGTGGGCCACCCGCGATGGTGCTGCACGTCTTGCTGTGCGTCGCCACCTCCCTACCTCTGAGCGTGCGCACTTTAGTCAGTACAAGAGTGCTCAGACCTTGTACGACGCTGTAGTTGCGCGCTACTCCTCCCCTGCCACTTCTGCACTGAGCCGTCTCATGCTTCCCTACCTCTTTCCTGACCGCTCTGCCTTTCCCACTGTCGCTGACCTCATTACGCACCTCCGCACTAGTGACACTCGCTACCGCGCCGCCCTTCCTGCTGAGTTCTGCGCTAAGAACCCCCCCCCCATGTACATCGCTCTCTACTACGTAGTCGCGCGCCTCCCTGACTCCCTTCGCGTCGTCAGGGACCACTTTCTCGCAGTCTGTCCCACCACCCTCACCGTCGACCTCCTCGAGAAGGCCCTCCTCGCAGCGCAGAAGAGCATAGTCGCTGTAGGTGCTTCTCGTGGTGACCCTCGCACCCCCATCTTTGAGGGGTGCTCTCCTTCCCCCTTGCTGCCCTCTGTTGCCTCTGCTGCTGATGCCGACCTGCTTGGTCTTGAGTCGGTCGGCGCGGCGTCTGCCCCTAGTGGGAGACGTCGCTCCAGCAAGGGCAAGGGGGGCAAGGGCGCGGGTGGAGCTGGAGGGGGCGGTGGCGGTGGCGGCGGTGGCGGCGGAGGGAGTGGGGGTGGCGGCGGGACTAGTGGCGGGGGTGGTGGTGGGGGTGGCAGCAGTGGCGGAGACGGTGGTGGTGGTGGCAGCGGTGGTGGTGGAGGCAGCGGCGGAGGTGGAGGCGGCGGAGGTGGAGGCGGTGGAGGCGGCAGCGGAGGAGGCGGTGGTGGTGGAGGAGGTGGAGCTGGTCGGGGTGGTACCCAGCAGCGTAGCGGCGGTGGTGGTGGCCAGCGCTCGCAGCGGCAGCAGCAGCAGCGCTCGCGGGACATCCCTCCGCCTCAGCAGCTTCGTGAGTGGTACGCTAGGTGTCAGAGGGGTGGGGGTACTGGTCCCTGCACCTACGTTCTTCGTTCTGGCGACCGCGCGGGTGAGCAGTGTGGGGGTGCCCACGCCATCCAGCGCTGCTTTGGCCGCCTGACGGACGCTTGGCGTCAGCAGTTCCCTGAGGCTAGTGAGATCCCTCGCTGGGATGAGCTTCTCAGGGCTGATGTAGCGATCTTTGATCTTGATTTTGATGCTATCCTTGCTGCTATGTATGTTGTGGATTATAGTGAGGAGAATGAGGGTTACCGTTGTTTCCAGCCCGACCCGGGCATTGGTACTGCTGCGCTAGGTGCTTGTGAGGCTGCTGCTCTAGGTGCCAGTGCGTCTGTGCTCTTAGGTACTGGTGAGACTGCGCTCTCAGGTACTACGTCGTCCTCGTCCTCCCTCACTTTCACACTTGACTCCGGAGCCTCTCGCTCCTTCTTTCGAGACCGCACTACCCTTACGCCGCTCGGCCGGCCGGTTGCGGTCTCCCTTGCTGACCCCTCTGGGGGTCCTGTCCTGTCTCACTTCTCCACTGTCCTCCCGTGTCCGGCTGCCCCTTCGGGCACCCTGTCGGGTCTGTACCTTCCCTCGTTCTCTACGAACTTGGTGAGTGGAGCGGACCTGCAGGATGTGGGGGTTCACCAGTTCACTCCTGCGAGTCAGCGGGTGACCCACTGCACGGAGGCACGCACAGGCCGACACCTGGCCACGTTCTCGCGTCGGCCGGGGTCGAGTCTCTACACCCTGACCGTTGAGTCTCCTCCTGTCCCTGTGTCTGGTCAGGTGGCTGCGTCGGGTCGGGTGCTTGCTGCTGCGTCCCGGTCAGGTCCTGAGTCTGCCCCCTGTTCTTGTCGCCTCCTGTCTCACGAGACTCTCCTGTGGCACCACCGTCTTGGCCACCCCTCCTTGCCCCGTCTTCGGAGCATGGCTTCCCGTGTCCTTGTCTCTGGTCTTCCCCAGTCTCTCCCTCCTCTCCCCTCCGGGCCAGGACCTTCCCGTGTCCCCTGTGTCGAGGGTCGCCTCCGGGCTACTCCTCACTCCTCCCACTTCCCCCCGACAGAGGCTCCCCTGCAGACGCTTCACATGGATGTGTGGGGCCCAGCCCCCGTCCGTGGGCAGGGTTACGAGCGCTACTTCCTGTTGGTGGTTGACGACTACTCGCGTTACACCACAGTCCTCCCCTTGCGCAGCAAGGGTGCGGTCACTGAGGTGCTGATCGACTGGATCCGCGAGGCTCGTCTCCAGCTCAGGAAGAGCTTCGGCTCGGACTTTCCTGTTCTGCGTCTGCACTCTGACAGAGGCGGAGAGTTCTCTTCTCGCCTTCTGCGGGACTACTGTCGTGCACGGGCGATCCGCCAGACCTTCACGCTTCCGGACTCACCACAGCAAAATGGGATTGCTGAGCGCCGCATTGGCATGGTCATGGATGTCGCTCGTACGTCCATGATGCATGCGGCTGCCCCCCATTTTCTGTGGCCGTTTGCGGTGAGGTACGCGGCGCATCAGCTCAACCTTCACCCCCGGGTCTCTCGGCCTGCGATGTCCCCAGCCTTGGTGTGGACGGGGAAGGTTGGCGATGCGTCTGTGTTCCGTGTCTGGGGATCTCGGGCGTTTGTCCGCGACTTGTCTGCGGACAAGCTGTCCCCTCGTGCTGCTCCCTGTGTCTTCCTTGGCTTCCCCACTGACGCCCCAGGGTGGGAGTTTTACCACCCCTCCTCTCGTCGTGTTCTGTCCTCCCAGGACGTCACGTTCGACGAGTCCGTCCCCTTCTACCGTCTCTTCCCCTACCGCACTCCTTCCCTCCCCCCTCCCCCAGACTTCCTTGTGCCGGTTCCCCCCCCGGTAGACCCCCTCCCCCCTCAGGTTCCTGCCCCCTCAGGTGTGTCCCAGGTAGACGCCGTTGACCCGGTCGAGGTTACTGGTGACTCTGGTGCTGCTGCGGGTGCTGAGCCTGGGGGTGCTGGGCCTGAGGGTGCTACTGCGGAGGGTGCGGAGCCTGGGGGTGCTGAGCCGGGGGGTACTGTGCCTGGAGGTGCTGGGTCGGGGGGTGCTGGGTCGGGAGCTGCTGAGCCTGGGGGTGTTGAGCTGGGAGCTGCTGAGCCTGGGGGTGCTGCATCTGGAGCTGCTGAGCCTGGGGTTTCTCCTGCTGCTGCGTCTCGCCGGGAGCCCCTCTCTCCACAGGAGCTGCGCGAGTGGTTCGCTCGCCGCTGGAGGCGTGCTGCTGAGTCTGGAGGTGCTGCTGGAGCTGGAGCTGGAGCTTCTCTGACCGTCGAGGGTGCGGGTGCTGCCGGTCCCGGGGCTGCTGGACCTGCGGGTCCTTCTGGAGCTGGAGCTGCTGAGGGCGTTGGTGCTGAGCCTACTGCTGTTGGTCCTGCCGCTGGAGGTGTGGGTGGCGCAGGTGCTGTCTCTGAGGGTGCTAGTGCTGTCCCTGCTAAGTCTGGAGCTGCCGCGCGGCCTCGGCCGTACTTCGTTCCGCTCCTGCAGCAGGTTCTTGGTCTTTCTCCTCCAGTAGAGGGTCCACCGCCTGTCCAGTCGCAGTCCCTGCTGGAGCCTACCTCCCCACTGCCTGCTCCCTCCCCTTACACCGGTCCTACTGGAGGTCTTGCTGAGCGTCGTGAGCCTGCGTCTCGTCCCGCGTCGCCTGTTCGTGCTGCTCGCGCTAGTGGTCGCAGTTCGCGTCAGCGTCCTCCTCCTGTCCCTGGCACGCAGCGGATGTCTTTGCGTCCGTCCACTGCTCCTCTACGTGCTCCTTTGCCTTCTCTTCCTGAGTCCTCTCTTCCTGCGCTTGCCGACCCTGAGTCGGACTCTCTTCGTGCTGCCAGTCCTACTGTCACGCGTCTGCTTGCTACTGTCGTCACTGACCCCTCTTTTGAGTCCACTGCTGCGTCTGCTCTAGTCGCTGAGCTCGTCGACTTTGCTGCTCGCTGTCGTCTCGACTACGCTGCTAGTCTTGTTGCTGAGTCTGCGTCTGTCTGTCCTCCGTCCGTCGGGGGTGAGTGTGCTCTTGGCACGGACGTCCTAGAGGACAGGCAGGAGGAGTTACAGTGTCTAGCGGCTGCTTCACCTCATCTCGCGTCTGTACTGCTTGCCCCTGAGGGAGACCCGGATGCACTTGACATCCCGACTCCGCGTTCTTACGCGGAGGCCGTAGAGGGTCCCTACTCCTCTTAGTGGCAGGCAGCTATGGATGCAAAGATGGCTTCTTGGAAGTCCACAGGCACCTACGTTGACGCGGTTCCCCCTCCTGAGGCGAACATCGTCAGTGGCATGTGGATCTTCAGGGTGAAGCGGCCGCCGGGCTCTCCACCCGTCTTCAAGGCACGGTACGTTGCTCGTGGCTTCAGTCAGCGGCAGGGAGTTGACAACTTTCAGACCTTCTCTCCCACCCCGAAGATGACTACTCTTTGGGTGCTGCTGCACATAGCCGCTCAGCGCGACTACGAGCTTCACTCTCTTGACTTCAGCACTGCGTTCTTGCAGGGTAGTCTGCACGAGGAGATCTGGCTTCGCCGTCCACCTGGCTTCACTGGGACTTTCCCTCCTGGCACCCAGTGGAGCCTTCGACGACCAGTCTACGGTCTCCGCCAGGCACCGCGTGAGTGGCACGACACACTGAGGACTACGCTTGCGGCTCTTGGGTTTGCTCCTTCTACTGCTGACCCGTCGCTGTTTCTTCGCACCGACACTTCCCTGCCGCCGTTCTACATCCTCGTGTACGTCGACGACTTGGTCTTTGCCACAGCGGACACTGCTGGACTCGCCTACGTGAAGTCCGAGCTGCTGAAGAGACACACGTGCACAGACCTGGGTGAACTGCGCAGCTACCTTGGCTTGCAGATCACCCGAGACAGAGCACGCCGCACCATTACCTTGACTCAGTCACACATGGTGCAGCAGGTCCTTCAGCGCTTCGGCTTCACGTACTCCTCGCCTCAGGCCACTCCTCTGCCTACTCGCCAGTCACTCTCAGCTCTGCCTTCGGATGAGTCCGTAGAGTCGAGTGGTCCGTATGCAGAGCTTGTTGGCTGCCTCATGTACCTGATGACCTGCACACGACCTGACCTTGCATACCCTCTGAGCATTCTTGCACGCTATGTTGCTCCTGGGAGACACAGACCGGAGCACATGGCTGCAGCGAAGAGGGTGTTGCGCTACCTCTGCAGTACGTCGGGCATGGGGCTAGTGCTTGGAGGGCGGAGTCCAGTGGTCCTTACCGGCCACGCGGACGCTTCTTGGGCTGACGACCAGGCTACGCAGCGGTCGTCACAGGGTTACACCTTCAGCCTTGGTTCCGGCTCTGTCTCGTGGCGGTCTACTCGCTCGTCTTCGGTTCTCGGCTCCAGTTGTGAGGCTGAGATCTACGCCGGGGCCATGGCTGCACAGGAGCTTCGCTGGCTCACCTACCTGCTGACTGACCTTGGAGAGCCGCCTCGTTCTCCTCCAGTGCTGTACGTAGACAACAAGGCCATGCTGGCCTTGTGTCGAGAGCAGCGCTTGGAGCACAGAACGAAGCACATTGCTCTCCGCTACTTCCTTGCTCGTGAGCTGCAGCAGCGTGGTCAGTTGCGACTTGCGTACGTGGCCTTTGAGGCCAACACTGCTGATGTGTTCACCAAGGCACTCGCGCCTTGTGACCATCAGCGCTTTTGCACCCAGCTGGGTCTTGTACCTGTCTTGCCTCACTTGCTCTCCTCTTGACTTCACTTGTACTGTGACATATATATATACCTGCTCTTGCTTGTCTAGTTTTATATATATGTCTGTACTCCTGCATGTGAACTGGCCTCTGGCCCTGCTCTTGTGCTCGGACTGTGTGGTGACTTTGTGATCCACCCTGAGCTTGCTTTGCTTTGCTTGACTGGTCTTGTGACCCCTTGTTCTCCCCCACTTTTCCTATGGGGGTGTGTCAGAGTATTATAGCTGATGCATGTTTGTAGGCTATAGTGGGGTATCACATATGGGGTACAGCTTTCTAGGGTTTTATTTGTACCCAACTCTGACTTAGTCATCATCATTCCTGTTTTCCTTGCTTCACATCGACCATAGAGCAGAGGGTTCATTTCGTCAAGCTGGATGCCTGCTACACGCCCGGGGCGGCTCAATGCACTGCCTTGTTGTGTAGCCCGGGCTTGAAGACGATGTCATAATGGAAAAGAGTTTCCAGGAAGTCCACCCACTGCACCTGTCGTCGTGAGAGCGTCGGCTGTAACTTCAGGTATTTGAGACTACAATGGTCAGTATATACTGTAGTCTTGGCTCCCTCTAGGTAACATCTCGACGCCTTGAAGGCTATGACTATCACTAAGGCTTCCTTGTCATAGATGGGGTAGTTCAATACTGCTCCGTGTAGCTTCTTACTGAGGTAGGCAATAGGCTGCAAACCGTGTCCGTGATCCTGCATCAATACTGCTCTGACTGCTTGGTCACTAGCGTCTGCTTCCACCACGTAGTCCTTTTCTAGGTCCAGTAGGATGAATACTTGCGCTGTAGTTAGTGCTGTTTGCAGTTGCTCCATGGCTTGCTGATGAGGAGTATTCCATTTATAGGGCGTATTCTTTTTCAGTAGGTCGGTCAGTGGCGTTGCTATCTTAGCGTACTGCGGCACGAACCTGTTGTAGTGGTTGGTGAAGCCTAGGAACTGCTGCAACACCTTCACGTTCTCCGGTACTTTCCACTTTTTGACGACTTCGATCTTCCGCGAGTCCACGTGTTCGCCCTCCGCACTCACCATGTGCCCGAAAAACTGCACCTTCATTAGGGCGAGGTCGCTCTTTGATAGCTTCACGTAGAATTTATTTTCCGCAGGATCTCGAACACCTTTCGTAGATGCTCCACGTGCTCCTTCATGTTCTTGGAGTAGATGAGAATGTCGTCCAGGTACACCACTACGCACTCGTCCAGTAGGGGTCGTAAGATATGGTTCATCTCCGCCTGGAACGTTGCTGGTGCGTTGCAGAGTCCAAACATCGTCACTAAGTATCCGTAGGAGCCGTATCTAGTACAGAACGCTGTCTTGTGGATCGAGTTGTCCACCATCTTGATTTGCCAGTAACACGACTGTAGGTCCAGCTTCAAAAAGACTGTTGCACCCCGCAATTGGTCAAGTAGGTCGTTTATGCGTGATATGGGATATTTTTTTTGAGTGTCTGTTTGTTCAGTGCGCGGTAGTCGATGCACATCCGTAAACTATCGTCTGGTTTCGAAGTGAAGAGAATTGGTGCACCGTAGGGAGAGATGGATGGGCGGATCAGTTTTCTGTCTAGTAGATACTCTATCTTCTTCTTCATGTCTGTCAGTTCATGTCTGTATGGTGCACGTGAGACTGGTTTTGCACCTGGTTCATCCATAATCTTGTGCTCGTGGGTGCGTGCTGGAGGTACGCCTGCGAGTAGGTCGTCGAGCATTATATCCTTGTAATGCTCCAAGACCTCCTTCACGATTGCAGGTAGTTGGGTACTAGGCTTCTCCTCCTCTGCTGCTGCCATAACCAGTGCTAAGTAACCCGTGTTACTCTCGTTCACCGTCCATTCAAACCGTGCTAGCATCGTTTCAGGAACAGCCCTTGTATCCGTCCAGCTCCGCAGCTCCACTCGTTTCTTGTTGTTGTAGATGTGAGCCTTCTGATTGACCTAATCGAACTCGGGGTTGATTGGTGACGTCGGCTTCTACCTCAACGCACCTATGTGCAGATGTAGTGATGTTTCGCCGTGGAAGGGAAGCTTCATACCGTCCACCATCATTGCTGAGAATTAAGTCTCCTCCGCCTTCTCTCCAATTTTCTCCAACGTTTCGCGGTCGCACACCGAGTGAGATGCACCGCTGTCCACCAGTGCTTGGAGGCGTTGTCCTTTGCATAACACCCTGAGGAGTAGTGGTTTGCGCTGAGGTGAGTAGCCGAAGGTAGTCTCATTAATAGGATCATAAGGTACATCAAAGAAATCACCTTCCCTATTTCCTATACTTGACTCGGCACTCTCCAACTTCACTTGGGGGGTAGGAGGATTTTTCCAAGGCTTGTAAAATTTCTCCTGAACCTAGAATTGTCCTCTAAGCCTTTGCAGCTATGTAGGCTTCACCTGTGGGCAATGGGGAGCCTTAACACGGTGCTGTGGGGAGAGGATATTAACTCCACGGAACGTACGACCCTTTTTTACGCTCCGCAATGCTTTGCCCAACTTCTCAGGTACCTGAATAATTTTTGAAGGCTTTTTCTTGGCCTCTAATTCTCCCCTGAATTTTTCAAAGGCCTGAATCTTTGTTTAAGTATCTTTCTAAGATAACTTTAACGAATTCTTACTTTTGTGGGTAATCGACTTGAGTTTCCCGGTCGGTGCAGAGTCTTTTTTCGCAGAGCTTCTATTCGCCTTGGCGATTTCTCCTGATGCTCGCCGGTCGTGACGTTTTACATCCGCGTCATCATTTTCTCCTGCTCTAAAGTTGCCACGTCGTTGCCCTTTTTCTCTATTTGGATAATTACGCGATCGCCAGGTCGATCCACAGCTACTGGCGATTCCCTTTTTTTTTACTTTGGGGGTGCTGTACTGTTGCCGCCCAGCAGTGCCGCACGTGTTTTTTTCATTTTGTAGCACGACAAGATTTGATGTCCGGCTGCGCCGCAAAATTCGCATTTTGTCGGCTGCTGCTTTGCTTCAAATTTGTCGATTTCCATCGGTCCGGCGAACGTGAGGGGTGCCGATTGCTCCGTGCCGAATGTACGGTTCACCCGGTAGCGTCGTGTTTTGGGTTGACCATGCGTCAATGCGTCGTAACGTTCGGCTGCATGTACGAGGTCGCGGTAGTTACTGTAGTTCGCTGCAATGACCTGCCGGCGAATCTCCATTTTTAACCCTTCTGTATACGCCTATATTTTTTCGCCCTCGGTCAGGTCGATGATGCGGTTAAAAAGCTGCTCCATCTGCTGCGTGTACTGTGCTACGCTCCCGTACCGCTTATGTCGGTGTATCTGCTGCTGTGCCATGTACATCGAGTTAATTGGCTCGAAAAGTTCGATGAGGTCTGCCCGAAACTACGCCCACGTTTTCTCCCCGCGTGCCACGTCACAAAAGTAAATCCACTCGAGTGCTGGTCCCCGCAACAGTGTCGCTGCGAGCTGAATCAGTGCTGCGTCGTTTGTCGGGGTCGAACAGCCAATGGCCTCGAAGTAAATTTTGAGGGTCGTCACGAATCGTCGAACTTCTGATCCCTTCGCGCATGGATCGAACGCTTCGGGGAGCCTCGGGCAAGCTGCTTCGAGGTTCGGCGAAGGTGGTGCCATTATCAAACATTTATCATATAGCTTGTCTAGGCTATAGTGGGGTAGACACTATGGGGTACAGTTTCCTAGGGTTTCCTACTTGTACCCAATCTTGTGCTAGTTCATTCATTCCTCATTTCTTCACATGGTATAGAGCAGGTTCCCTAGTGGGAACGCTTCCTTGGGCCCACCACTGAATTATTTTTTCTGACCGGAGCGTCAGTCACTCCTGCCCGAGGCGCGCCTTGTGGGCCGCCCTTCTGTCGAACTCTCTTAGAGGCCCCTCTCACGGCCCCTCGCGCCACCCTTAGCGGCCCCGTCGCCGCCCCTAGCGGCCCCGTCGCCGCCCTTCCAGGCACCTCGCGACCCCTAGCGGCCCCGTCACCGCCCCTACGCAGCCCTGTCGCCGACCCTAGCGGCCCCGTCGCCACCCCTAGCGGCCTCGTCGCCGCCCCTAGCGGCCCCGTCGCCGCCCCTAGCGGCCCCGTCGCCGCCTCTCTCCCTACGCGGCCCCGTCGCCGCCCCTAAGCGGCCCTGTCGCCGCCCCTACGCGGCCCCGTTGCCGCCCCTAGCGGCCCCGTCCCCGCCTCTCTCCCTACGCGGCCCCGTCGCCGCCCCTACGCGGCCCCGTCGCCGCCCCTAGCGGCCCCGTCGCCGCCCCTACGCGGCCCCGTTGCCGCCCCTACGCGGCCTTGCCGCCGCCCCTAGCGGCCCCATCGCCGCTCCCCTCCCTACGCGGCCCCGTCGCGCCAACTAGGCGGCCTCGACGCCGCCCCTACGCGGCCCCGTAGCCGCCCCTCGCGGCCCCCTCGCTGCTCCCCTCCCTACGCGGCCCCGTCGCCGCCCCTAGCGGCCCCATCGCCGCCTCTACCGGCCCCGTCGCCGCCTCTACTGGCCCCGTCGCCGCCTCTACCGGCCCCTTCACCGCTGAGCCGCCCAGCAGCTAAGCAGCCGAACCACCAAGCCGCCGAGCAGCCAAGCAACTGAGCCGCCCAATAGCCGAGCCGCCGAGCCGCCCAGCAGCCGGGCCGCTGAGCCGCCGAGCCGCCCAGCAACCGAGCCGCCCGATAGCCGAGCCGCCCAACAGCCGAGCCGCCGAGCCACCCAGCAGCCGAGCCGCTTAGCCGCCGACCCGCCCAACAGCCGAGCCGCCCTACCGTCGAGCCGCTACTGTTCCTATCGGCGCGCCCCGGCCCTACTTACTCGGACTGGTGAGATCACTCCCTGCTAGGCCACTGCAGTCATGGCTACCCCCGGTGTCCTTACCTTTGATGCTGAGGGTCGTGCTGTTGACTTTGAGGTCTAGGTCGATGACTTCCAGCTGTTTCTACAGTGCGATAGGGCAGACGGACTCTCCCTGTTCGATCTCACCTCTAGTGCCTCTCCTGCCCCGTGTGCTACTGCTGACAGCACTGTTCGCTCACAATGGGCCACACACGATGCTGCTGCCCGTCTTGCTGTGCGTCGCCACTTACCGACCACTGAGCGTGCGCACTTAAGCTAGTACAAGAGTGCTAAGACCTTGTACGATGCTGTAGTTGCACGCTACTCTTCCCCTGCCACTGCTGCGCTTAGCCGCCTCATGCTAGCGTACCTGTTCCCTGACCTTGCTGCCTTTCCCACAGTCGCTGACCTCATTACGCACCTTCGCACTAGCGACACTCGCTACCGCGCTGCGCTTCCTGCTGAGTTCTGTGCCAAGAACCCCCTCCCCCCATGTACATCACCTTCTACTACATAGTCACCCGGCTCCCTGACTCCCTTCGCTTAGTCAGGGACCACTTCCTCTCAGTTTGCCCCACCACACTCACGGTTGACCTCGAGGAGCGCCTCCTAGCAGCAGAGAAGAGCATAGTCGCTATAGGAGCCTCTCATGGTGACCCTCGCACCCCCGTCTTTGAGGGGTGTTCCCCTTCCCCCCTCTTGCCCTCTGTTGCCTCTACTGCTGCGGCCGACCTCGTTGGTTTCGAGTCGGTCAGCGCAGCGTCTACCCCTAGCGGGAGACGCCGCACCAGCAAGGGCAAGGGGGGCAAGGGCGCTGGAGGGGCTGGCGGGGGTGGTGGAGGTGGTGGTGGAGGCAGTGGAGGGGGTGGGGGTGGTGGTGGGAGTGGTGGCGGGGGTGGAGGTGTTGGTGGCAGAAAAGGAGGCGGAGGAGGCGGCGGCGGTGGCGGAGGGAGCGGAGGCGGCAGATGTGGCGGAGGCAGCGGAGGTGGCGGAGGCGGCGGAGGTGGCGGAGGCGGCGGAGGTGGCGGAGGCGGCGGCGGCAGCGGTGGAGCTGGTCGCGGCTCTGCGCAGAGGAGTGGGTCCGGTGGTGGTCCGCGCCAGCAGCAGCAGCGCAGTTGTGAGACCCTGTCCCCTTAGCAGCTTCGTGAGTGGTACGCTAGGCGTCAGCGCGGTGGGGGTACTGGTCCCTGCACCTACGTCCTCCGTACCGGCGACCGAGCTGGTGAGCAGTGCAGGGGCCCGCACTCCACCGAGCGCTACTTCGGCTCAGGCCTTACACACCTTCACCCTTGACTCGGGTGCTTCCCGCTCCTTTCAAGACCGCACCACGCTTACGTTGCTTAGTCGGCCGGTTGCGGTCTCCCTGGCGGACCCCTCTGGGGGTCCTGTCCTTGTTAGCTTCTCCACTGTCTTACCGTGCCCGCAGCCCCCTCTGGCACCGTGTCAGGTCTCTACCTCCCCTCGTTCTTTACGAACTTGGTGAGTGGAGCTGATCTATAGGATAGGGGGGTTGACCAGTTCACTCCTGCGAGTCAGCGGGTGACCCACTGCACGTGTGCTCGGACAGGCCGACACTTGGCCACGTTCACCCGTCGGCCGGGGTCGAGCCTATACACACTTCCTACTGAGTCTGGCTAGGTTGCTGCGTCGAGTCAAGTGTTTGCTGCAGCGTCCAGGTCTGGTCCTGAGTCTGCTCCCTGCTCGTGTCGTCTCCTGTCCCACCGGACTCTCCTTTGGTACCACCGCCTTGGTCACCCCTCCCTGCCTCGTCTGCGAGGCTTGGCCTCCCGTGTCCTTGTCTCTGGACTCCCCCAATCTCTCCCTCCCCTACCTCCGGGGCCTGCCCCTACCTGCGTCCCCTGCGTCGAGGGGCGACAGCGCGCCTCCCCTCACTCCTCCGAGTTTCCTCCGACAGAGGCTCCGTTGCAGACTCTTCACATGGACGTGTGAAGCCCCGCCCGCGTACGTGGACAGGGGCACGAGAGTTACTTCCTGTTGGTGGTTGACGAATACTCGCGTTACACCACAGTCTTCCCCTTGCGCAGCAAGGGTGATGTCACTGAGGTGTTGATCGACTGGATCCGCGCAGCTCGTCTCCAGCTCAGAGAGAGTTTTGGCTCGGACTTTCTTGTTCTACGTCTGCACTCTGACAGAGGCGGGGAGTTTTCCTCTGCCCGTCTGGGAGCCTTCTGTCGTGCACAGGGCATCCGCCAGACCTTCACGCTTCCGGCCTCTCCACACCAAAATGGGATTGCTGAGCGCCGCATTGGCATGGTCATGGACGTCGCGCGTACGTCCATGATGCATGCGGCTGCCCCCCATTTTCCGTGGCCGTTTGCGGTTCAGTACGCAGCGCATCAGCTCAACCTTCAGCCCTGGGTCTCCTTGCCAGAGACCTCCCCCACCTTGCGGTGGACGGGGAAGGTTGGCGATGCGTCTAAGTTTCGGGTCTGGAGATCTCGGGCGTTTGTCCGCGACTTGTCTGCGGACAAGCTGTCCCCCCGTGTTGTTCCCTACGTCTTCCTTGGCTTCCCCCCTGACGCGCCTGGGTGGCAGTTCTACCACCCCACCTCGCGCTGTGTTTTGTCCTCCCAGGACGTCACCTTTGACGAGTCGGTGCCTTACTACCGTCTCTTCCCCTACCGCACTGCGCCCCTCCCCCCGCCGCCGCTCTTCCTTGCGCCAGGTCCTCCCCCGGTAGACCCCCTCCCCCCTCAGGGTCCTGCCCCGTCAGGTGTGTCCAAGGTAGACGCAGTTGAGCCTGTCGAGGTAGCTGTTGACTCTGGTGCTGCTAGAGGTGCTGAGCCTGCGGGTGCCGGGTCTGGAGGTGCTGAGCCTGAGGGTGCGGAGCCTGGGGGTGCTAAGTCCAGGGGTGCGGAGCCTGCGGGTGCTGAGCCTGGGGGTGCTGAGTCTGGGGGTGCTGAGTCTGGGGGTGCTGAGCCTGGGGGTGCTAAGCCTGGGGGTGCGGAGCATGGGGGTACTGGGTCTGCTCGTGTGGCCTCTCGCGGTGCTTCGTCAAGACGGGAGCTACTCTCTCTCCGCAGGAGTTGCGCGAGTGGTTTGCCCGGCGCTGGAGCCGTGATGCTGGAGCTAGAGTTGCTACTGTTGCTGCTAGTCCCGGAGGTGCTCGTACTGGCGGTATTGGAGCTGCTGGGACTGGGGGTGCTGCTGGGGCTGCTGGAGTTGGTCCTACTGGAGTTGGTGCTGCTAGAGCTGCTGGAGCTGTAGCTACTGGGGGTGTTGGCGCTGGTGGTTCTGCTGGCGCTGGTTCGTCTGAGGGTGCTGGAGTTGGCGGTGTTGGAGCAGGAGGTGCTACTGGCGCTGGTGCTGCCGCTGGGGGTACTGGTGCTGTCCCTGCTGGTTCAGGAGGCGCTGCGCGGCCGAGGCCGTACTTCGTTCCGCTCCTTGAGCAGGTTCTTGGTCTCCCGCCCTCTACTGGTCCTGCTCCTCCCTTGGAGTGTCCACAGCCTGTCTAGTCGCAGTCACAATTACAGCCCGCCTCCCCCCTACCTGCTCCTTCTCCCTATACTGGTCCTTCTAGAGGTCTTGCTGAGTGTCGTGAGCCTGCGTCTCGTCCTGTGTCGCCTGTTCGTGCTGCTTGCACTAGTGGTCGTGCTCCGCGTCCGCGTCCTCCTGCAGTCCTAGGCACACACCAGATGGCACTGCGTCCTTCCACTGCTTCTCTGCGTGTCCCGTTGCCGTCTCCTCCAGAGTCCTCTCTTCCTGTTCTCCCTGACCCAGACTTTGACTCTCTTCGTGCTGCCAGTCCTAATGTCACGCGTCTCCTGGCTACAGTTGTTACTGACCCTTCCATTGAGTCCACTGCTGCATCGGCCCTAGTTGTTGAGCTTGTCAACTTTGCTGCTCGCTGTCGTCTAGACTACGCCGCTAGTCTTGTTGCTGAGTCTGAGTCTCTCTGTCCTCCGTCCGTCGGGAGTGAGTGTACTCTTAGCACGGACGTCCTTGAGGACAGGCAGGAGGAGTTCGAGTGTTTTGCTGCTGCTTTGCATCATCTCGTGTCCACGCTGATTGCCCCTGAGGGAGACCCGGATGCACCAGACATCCCGACTCCTCGATCGTACGCTGAGGCGATGGAGGGTCCCTACTCCTCTTAGTGGCAGTCAGCCATGGACGCAGAGATGGCTTCCTCGAAGTCCACAGGCACCTACGTCGACGAGGTTCCCCCACCTGGGGCGAACATCGTCAGTGGCATGTGGATTTTCAGGGTGAAGCAGCCGCCGGGCTCTCCGCCTGTCTTCAAGGCGCGTTACGTGGCTCGTGGCTTCAGTCAGCGGCAGGGAGTTGACTACTTTCAGACCTTTTCTCCCACCCCGAAGATGACCACTCTTCGGGTGCTGCTGCATATAGCCGCTCAGTGCGACTACGAGCTTCACTCTCTTGACTTCAGCACAGCTTTCTTGCAGGGCAGCCTTCACGAGGAGATATGGCTGCGCCGCCCACCTGGCTTCACTAGGTCGTTTCCTCCTGGTACCCAGTGGAGTCTCCGGCGGCCAGTCTACGGTCTCCGCCAGGTGCCCCGTGAGTGGCATGACACACTGAGGACTACAGTTGCGGCTATTGGGTTTGCTCCTTCTACAGCTGACCCGTCGCTGTTTCTGCGCACCGACACCTCTTTTCCGCCGTTCTACATCCTCGTGTACGTCGATGACTTGGTCTTTGCCACTGCTGACACTGCTGGACTTGCCCACGTGAAGTCCGAGCTACAGAAGAGACACACGTGCACAGAGCTTGGTGAACTGCGCAGCTACCTTGGCTTGCACATCACCCGGGACAGAGCACAGCGCACCATTTTTTTGACTTAGTTATAAAAGGTGCAGCACGTCCTTCAGCTTTTCAACTTCACGTACTCCTCGCCTGTGGCCACTCCTCTGTCTACTCAGCACTCGCTCTCAGCTCTGCCTTCGGATGAGTCCGTAGAGCCGAGTGGCCCGTACCCAGAGCTTGTTGGCTGCCTTATGTACCTGATGACCTGCACACAACCTGACCTTGCATACCCTCTTAGCATCTTGGCACGCTATGTTGCTCCTGGTAGACACCGACCAGAGCACATGGCTGCAACGAAGAGGGTGTTGCGCTACTTGTGCAGTACGTTGGGTTTGGGGCTAGTGCTTGGAGGGCGACGTCGAGTGGTCCTCACAGGTCACGCAGACGCTTCTTGGGCTGACGACCAGGCTACGCAGCGGTCGTCACAGGGTTACACCTTCAGCATTGGCTCCGGCTTTGTTTCGTGGCGGTCTACCTGCTCGTCCTCTGTTCTCGGCTCCAGTGTGAGGCTGAGATCTACACCGTGGCCATGGCTGTACAGGAGTTACGCTGGCTCACCTACCTGCTGACTGACCTAGGAGAGCCGCCTCATTCTCCTCCAGTTCTGTACGTAGACAACAAGGCCATGCTGGCCTTGTGTCGGGAGCACAGACTGGAGCACAGAACAAAGCACATTGCTCTTCGCTACTTCCTTGTTCGTGAGCTGCAGCAGCAGCTGCGCCTTGCTTACGTGGCCTCTGAGGCCAACACTGCTGATATCTTTACCAAGGCACTTCCGCCTGGTGATCATCAGCGCTTCTGTACGATGCTACGTCTTGTGCCTACTTGGCCTCACTTGCTCACTTCTTGACCTTGCTTGTACTGTGATCTTTCTATACCTGCACTTGCCTGTTTACCTTTATATATTATCTTGCATGTGAACTAGCCTTGTGGCCTTGCTCTTGTGCTCGGATTGTGTGGTGACGTTGTGATCCACCTTGAGCTTGCTTTGTTTTGCTTGACTAGTCTTGTGACCCCTTGTTCTCCTCGAATTTGCCTATGGGGGTTTGTCAAACATTTATCATGTAGCTTGTCTAGGCTATAGTGGGGTAGACACTATGGGGTACAGTTTCCTAGGGTTTCCTACTTGTACCCAATCTTGTGCTATTTCATTCATTCCTCATTTCTTCACAGCCATCGGTCCGTGAAATGTCGGTGTCGCTGATGCATTCGCTGCTGCATTTACTGCTGCGGTGGCGGCTACCGATTGGTTTGTCAGGAGGGTTTCGATTCGCCGGAGCGTCGCCTGCGTCTGCTCTACATTCGTGTGAAGGCTGGCGATGTCGTGTGTCATCGCGTAATTGTCGCCTTGGCCCTCCATTCTTGACATTGCGTGAAAAACACGGAACTTGTTTTACGAACCCGAAATCGGTGTTTAACAGCCGTCGCCCCCCGCGTTTTTTTGAAGACTCGGTTTTAGTGGTCGAAAAAACGTCGCGTGTAAACAGGCTTTGATTACCAAGTATGAGAATCTAGGATCGAGCTTAGAAAAGTGGGTTTGAATTGAATGATTCACCTGGGTACAACATGAGGCTATATATAGTATCGACACAAGGTCAGTTACCCATGTGTTACGTGAATGTTCTGAGGGTCGCGAAGCGTCTCGAACAGAACCTTCCTGTACTCGGTAGAAAGCAATTTGGTGGAAACCGAATAGGCTTGAGTTCGGTACACATAACCTAGTTCGGTGCTATAACTATAATAAAATATTGGAATGCACCTAACCCAAGCATATCTATGCATGATAAATAAAATCCAAGCTAGTAATAGAATAATGAAGTCCAGACAAGCTAGCAAAGCTAGCATAAGCTGTCGTACTCTCACAACATTGATCGGGATGGAGGAGGAGGCCTCACCAGACCAAAGCGGGCAGCTGGGGGACGGGAATGAGTAACCAGGGGATGCTGCCGACGAGGAGGCTGGACACCGGGCGCAGGAGAGGTGGGGTGAGGAGCGGCGGGAGGAGGAGGCTGTGCAGCCGGACGAGAGGGAGCCACTGAGCCCATAGGCGCTGACAAGGACAACTGTGCGGGAGGAGGGGGGGGCCAGAACCGACTGCGGTGGCGGGGCCGGGGGTGGAGGGGCCGGGGGTGGAGGTCGCTACAGCGATGACTGCTGTGGCAGCGCAGGAACCAGCTGCTGCACAGTGTGAGCAAGTGGCGACTGCAACGGCCTCGGCCGCCATGGTTGGTGATGAGGACGGCGAGGCGGGCGGAACTGCTGCCCGCGAGGCCGCAGAGAGGGATATGCACGACCCGGGGGGGGATGAAACACAGGTGCAAGTGAATCAGGCGGATCACGCTACACGGGCCCCGAACCGCCGCTCGCTTCGGCTTCAACCAGGTCAGTGGTGGTTCGAAGTAGGGCTGGCACCTGGCCGCCCTGGGCCTCTGTGGGGATGGGACCAGCAGTTCGGCCAACAACAACCTTGCGACGAGGGGCTTTCCGCCTGCCCTTCATTGTCGCGAGGGGCAGGAACAGTAGCGATAGAGGGAGACAGAGCCGCGGGAGCACGACGGGTGGCGGCAAATGGCGAAGGAGAGGTCCGGGAACTGCCAGACGCAGAAGAGCAACCGCAAGGGACGGCACCCACGGAACGGCAGCAGGGACCGCCAAATACGACGAGAAGAGCGCGAGGGTGAGGGCGAGGGCAAGGAGGAGGCCGAAACCGTGCCCATGACCCTTTGTCTCGGACTTCGTTACTGTGGATACACTCCAGCGACGGGCCTCGTAACAGTCACGCTGCGAGCCGAATTCTCATCGCCTCATGTGTCGAGGTCGTGCATCCAACGGCCTCGAAATATATTTCGAGTTTAGCCACAAATCGACGGACGTCGCTCCCCTTCGCGCAGGGATCGAACGCCTCCGGCAGCCTCGGCCGTGCTGGTTTGAAGTTAACTGTAGTTGGTGTCGCTGTCGCAGGTAGAAATGTCAGTGTCGCTGCTGCCGCTACTGCCGTCACTTCTGCATTCGCTCCTCCTATAATGACTGCTGACTGGCGACACAAGGCGCAACCTGTTACAACCCAGATGGGTCAGTGTGCACTTACAGAAAAAATAATAAATGAAGGCACGAAGAAAGGCTGGAAAACTAGCCATGGCAAAAACAAGGTTGATGAATTAGCCAAGGTGAAAAACAGAAGTACCGGTATGTTATACACCGAGTCACGGCAAAAAGGAGAAAATCTCAGGGCCTCGTTCACACCAATTCGAGGTGGTGATCATGGCACACAAATAAACTTGGACCCTACACTCCCAGCACACTTCTTCTCATTGTACTCATAATATTTTGAAATCGCTCCATTTGCAGCTCCACCGTAGAAGCTGTAAGCACCCGAGCATGTCAATGATGGTGACACTGGTTTTTGCCTACCCTTCTTGCATATGCCAACAACGAATGGCCAATACTCTGCTCTTAGGCAAATCTGCAATGGAGGCATTCACAAACACATCCAACAAACGGAACATGTATCAAGAGGCACAGATAAGCACGAACAGAAAACCTTCTCAACGAACAAACAAGGGCAAATAGTTGGAACAAGAACATTCTTATAGGCATATGAAAAATGACCCCTTGCCCCCTCACCCATCAAATGTACGTCTACTCCACAAGTTTCCCCTCCATCTTTCCCTCCAATCTCTTGGGACCCCCATCCCGGTTCCCCTCCAACCCTCACCTGCACGCCAGTGTTGCTGCCAACAGCAGAGGCGGAGGCTGGGATGACGTTGGAGCAGATGAGGCTGGGATTGTTCCGGTACAGCTCAGCCCAACGCATGGCGTTCACTTTCCCAGAACCCGTAAGACCATCCTCACCCCCCGCCATCTGCTGCAGCAGGCGCTCACACGTGTCCTGTGCTGTGAGCACACCGTATTGCAAGCACCGCGGCACGGTGAAGGCAAAGGTGGCATTACGCTCGATGCAAAGAGAGGCCCCGGCCTTGATGGCCTTAGAGCAGTCAAGGCCGGGATTGAGAGCCGTGAAGTTGCTGCTGCTAAGGCCCAGCTGGGTGCCGATGGACCAGCACGTGTCACCCTGGAGGGTTGAACACCGGGAGCGAAGGCACAGATGCCCGAGGATAATGGAGCATGAATGCACTATGGGCAAGTAAAAAAAGGCCGAGATGAGAAGACAACAACGCTGAGCTGACGCAGTCCAGAAGCGAGGGGATCTGGAAAGAAAGGAATGATGTCAAAGGCATGAAGTTGTAGAAGAAAGCTTTGGAGGTGAAAGGGGCACTGCTGTACTACGTGCAATGCTAAAATAGGCTGGGCTGCTAAAACCGCAGTGAGTGGAAAGATCTGGAAAGAAGGAGAGAAGAAAGATGGAATGAGCTGGTGGGATATAATGGAAGGAAGAACAACAGCAAGGAATATAGCTCACATTGAGGGTGTAGAAGAATGCGGTGCAGGGCACGGGAAGAGGACTTCCCAGCTGAAGCACGATGTTACGAGGCAAAGGACGGCTGCAGTCAATGGCCTGCAGTTATGAGGGTCACAGCCACATAGAGTCTGAAGCTTAGCCGACCATACCATCCTGTGGTGTTACTGATTCCAATCTCATCCCCCTAACAATGCTTTTCATTCTTTCCCTGCCCGCCTGCCTCTCCACACCTCCAGGCTCTCCATTCCCACAGCTTACCACATTCTGCTGTGTAAATAGTGCAAGTGGGAGGCCCACAAGAGGGAGGACATCGGAGCACCACCAGTTGCTGCCTCTCACTGCCAGGGTGCTGGCTGTGAGGTTGGCTGAAAAGGTGAAAGAAGGGAAACACACCAAATAGAGTGGCCTAAATGAGAGCCAACCTAGAAGTTGTGTGCGCACGCATCACAGGGCTAGGCTGTGAAAGAAGGTCGCAGGGGTTGTGGGGACCTCAACCTATGATACAAGAACCACTGAATGAAGTAGCAGCCCTCTCGCACATGAGGAGGATGCAGCAGCACCTGGGTCGCAGGTAGGGAAATTGTCAATGGTTGTGCTGGCAACGTAGTTGGGTGGGCAGATGCAGGAGTAGGAGCCCTTGCCATCGTTGATGCATGCCCCCACGTAGCACGGGTTCTTCAAGTCTGCCCCACACACGTCCACTGGCAAGCAACACAAACAGAATTGTGGAGCACAGGGATAAGGAGAAAAGAGATATTTATGTGTTGGGAACAATGGGAAAGAGAGAGGCGAAGTATAAGGGGGCGGTGGGGGGGGGGGGGGGTGGGGATATATATCGAGAACGTTATAGACAGACCGAGGCTTGGTGAAAACATTGGTCAAAACTTACAATAGGCACACGTTTGAAAGCCGTATCCATTCGCCACTTCAACAAATGGCTGCTTGGATTCATTCGGAATGGTGCAGTTACACGAGTTGCTGTTGCTACGCAGGTTAGCCCGGCATGCGAACCGCCCACACGGGTTCATGGTGGGCTGCAAATCGCCATCACCCTTGAAGCTCTTCTGGCCGCAAGGGTCTTTGGGGACTGAAGGGTGGTACAAACAAGAACAGGGGGAGTAAGAACAGGTGCGGATGCAGTTTCATTGAAACAGGCGTGAGCTCACCCATTGAAATCATTTCAGTTTAGCATTGAAAAGGAGGCTTCTTCTGTGCATTTCATCCTGGACCAAACATAGTTGACCCTGTGAGATATGGAGAGAGCGACTTCAGAAGATACCTCAGTCAAGGCCACAAGGTAGAAGTCTCACTCTTGACAATGGGGTAGATGCCAGGTAGCACGTTGATGCCACACACGCCATCGCCTCCCTGAATGTCTATGCGCATGTGGCCCCGATCACCCCACTCCACTCCCCATGAGTTGCGGATGATCCAGAATGGAGGCGCAATGCGATTTTGGCTGCCGTCATTTCTCAAGACAAAGTATCCAATAACGAGTACAACGTGGTTCAGTCTGCCAGTATAGCTTCCAGGATTTTGGTACTTGAAGGTCTGAAGAGAAAGAGGAACACCACAACAATCATGAAGGGTGGATGAGAGTGGTAATTTTTTAGGCAAACATGTCAATGCAGATAACGAGTTCTGTACAACTCTTGACAACGTATGCACAGCATGTAGGATCAAATGCAAAAAACACCAACCCCGTCATATTGTGCGAAATCCGGAGCAGAAGCCTCGATGTGAACCACCACGGGCTGTCGTCGCACTGCCAGCATAAGCCCCACAAACCCCTTGAACTGCGTGTGCTCAAATCCGTGAACACTGTACTCCTTTTCCTGAGGATGGAATGTCGAAACGGAGTTTAACATTTAGGGAAAAAGGGGAACAAACTCATAAGTTTGCTTTTCGAAAACGCCAGCGGCAATCACATGTAGACCTACTTACACCTAGGCATTTTTAGTAAGCAGTAATATGTTGGGGGGAATTTCAAAATGATCAGAATATACGTTTCTGCATGTTTTAGGGATGTTAAGGCTCATCTCCAAGGCTGGCTTGGCCCTCTCTCAGCTTGTCGCGAGCCGGCCTAGGCCGGCTCATAACTGCGTATCAGACTTCAGGAGCACCCGCATGCTAACAGTTCCTTATTAGTTGCATCGCAACCTTTGACAGTGGCTGCGACGACTGACTCTGGAAGTCAGAGAGAGTCCACATACTACCAGTTGTAGTATAATTCGAACTCTCTCAGCATCATTCACACCTCTCGAACTTTCCGATTTTCTCATGAAAACCTACACCTTTCTAGCTATTCAATTCACCAAAGAGCTCACAGGTGCGCCAGCCTCTGTGACTCCACTGCGAGGCAGCATGAGAAGCCTTTCAAACGCCTCAGTAGGAGAGCCCCCCGTGCTGCACTTGTCAGCTTCTGAGGTGAGCCCCATGGCTGCAAAGAGTGACTCCACTGACAGCTGCGGCGCCTCTCTATTCATTGCAATGCCATATGCCGCTTCCATGCTTGCCACAACAGCAAATGCCCAACAAGCACCTGGGTATCATAGAAACAGTTTCGTGAATAAGCAAAGCAGATTTGACGAGAGCCGAAAATTGGTGGAAACACGTATAGAGCCGAGGACGAAAGTGGCTGAAACATGAAAGTGACCAGCAGCAGAGTAGCGATCAACAAAACACACCAGCCAAACGATCGGCTCCAACATGCTTCTCCAGATTCTCCATTGGTTTCACTCACTGCAGTCTTTCTGGTCCTTGACAGGCCAGCCAAGGAAGGGCACAGAGTCCCAAGAGTGGAAGTCGCTGACGACCCACGAGTCCTGCTTGCTGGGCGCCACTCGGTAGTCCGCACTCACGTAGCGCGGGAAGGGGCTGGCCCACTCTGGCAGGTACGTGTCCGTTGATAGCCGCAGGCCATAGGCTGGAACATGCGCAGGAGTTGAATGGGATGTGAAAGAGACAAGTTGAATACAATGGGCAGTGCTGCATTGCCCTTGAATTGCTGAGCTGGGCTGGGCGTCAAGATTTCCGTACATTTCTGGGCTGCACCTCATATCCGGTCAGTTCTGCACCTCATATGACTGTTGGTTGATTGCTGGTACACATCCATCTAACACCCCGTTCAGTCCTGATGGACCTGTATTGGTGCATTGCTCATGCGCAGGTAATTTCTCAAAAAAATAGAAACGCTCTTCTAAATTAGTATACCGGGAACATAGTTGCTGACCATTTTTTTTTCCAGTTTACTTTGGATCAGTTAGCTTGAGATTTAGGTACACTGTGTTGTGCAACATCTACCACATTGTCTTAGCAATGATACCTTCTTGCACCAAGTGTACTAAATGCATGCGCATTGGGCAAAAAAAAAAAAAAAAAAAAAAAAAAAAAAAAAAAAAACCATCGTAGGATGGCGATTGAAGGATGCATGTTGGAAGATGAATTAACGCGTGGGCAAACATTGGTACAGACTATTAAGACGATCGTACAGTCAGTCAGTTACTCACATTGCTTGCCTCTCATGTCCTTCTGACAGAGGTGACCTTTTACCTGGAATACGTGTGATTTGTCGGGGAGAAGCAGGAAGACCTGTAAAAAGACAGATCCGAGGAAAGAAAGAAAATGCTTTGTAAATTCAGAAATCGTGCAACCCGTATTTCCTTATAAGTTTCAGCTACAGCATACCCCCCCAAAATGTTTATCTTGAGAAAGACTTCACCTTTTTGCTACAATTCACATCGAGAATTATAGTCATGGCTACAATTTATTAGTTCTTGAAGAAGTACTAACAGTTATGATTTCGTCGGTGGCGTTTCTTGTGAAGACGACGTTTTTGATCGGAGTTCTAGTCCAACGTTTTTTTCGCTCCCCAAATCCATTTAGACTCCGTCCTTGATCTGTACACCCTCGTCCTCATCAGAACTACCCTCATTTTTCGCCAGCACCACCCTCTTCTTCACCGGAACATCTCCTCAATGTCACGATGTTTTACATCGTGACATTGCCACCTCTTTCACATCCTCCAGATAGGACCTCCTGTGTTGTCAACCACCATGCTAAGCTTATCCTTCTAGCAGCACACACTTCCTACCTGTGTCCACTGAGGATTCAAGAATGACGTGCCGCTGAAACGGCTTCACAGTGGTGGACGCCACAAATCCAAAGAAGAAAGCGTGCTGCTCGGCTGCACCCTGCAGTACCTCACACAGCGCCAGCCTCCTCTCCAGCACTGCCTGCTGCGGCTTCTCCTGCGACTCAGCCAAGAAGACTTGAATGGTGCCGGGGTCCCCTGGCTCATAGTCCACCCACGCCGTGTACGCCTTCCGGTTGCTCAGTGGGAATGGTGACCTCACAGCGGCTACCGACTTGTCCTCGCCTCGAATGTTCAGCCCCACATGTTGGCTGCTCATGTCGCCGTGCTGCTTGTTCTGTAGAGAGTCAAACTCGATCGCCATGCTCCGCGTGTCCATTCCGCCATAGCCCACACCGGCTCCACTCCCCACCTGGTTCGTCGCCGAGACGACAAAGGCAAAGCCGTTGAAGCCCACACGGCCAGATCGCGGCGAGAGGGAGAAGGTGAAGTTGACGTGGAAGGCAAGCTGCAGCCCACACCGCGACAGCGCCTGCCCTGCCTCGTACACAAACAGCGTCACAGGCGCTGCAGTGAAGCTTCCCCCCGTCTCTCGCTGCGTTCCCTTGGTGAGCACAGATGCTGGCGGGAGAACCGGCTGGCTGCTTGAGAAAGTTTTATTCTGGCCTGCACAAACATCACAGACGGACGAACATGAGTGGGAAATGTGTAAGAACTTCAGCAAGAATCTATTGATTAAATGAAGGACCTCAAGGCCCGTAGGTATTAAAAAAAAACAGGTCGGAACAGATGGGATGGAATCAAGGGCAAATGCGATTGGCTGAATACCAAGGTTGGGTTGGGATATTGATGAATACCCAATAGGGATGAGCACAGATATGAACACCTGTTCGGTTCGCCTCGAACATGTTCGAGGCGAACCGAACAGGTTTGTTTTTTTTTCTTAAAGTGTTTGCCGAACAGTGTTCGAGGTTCGCCTCGAACACGTTCGTGTTCGGGCTGCTGCTGCAATTTGCCCCGCGACGAACACGAACATGTTCGAGGTTCGCCCGAACACGCCTTCACAGGCGAACGGCGAACACATGTTTTTGCTGAAAGTGTTCGCCGAACCGAACAGTGTTCGCCGAACCGAACAGTGTTCGGTTCGGCAAACGGATGTGTTCGTGTAGGAGCGAACACGAACATGTTCGTGTTCGCCCCTTGCTCATCCCTAATACCCAACCACGAAACCACAACCTCACTAAAGGAAGGCATAAATAGTGCAAGTACAAAACGTGAGATGAAAGTCAGGTGAGACCTAAGAAGGTCAGGCTTAATTCCAAGCTACAAGCTGCTGAAGTGCTTGTGAGTTGGACACCCCACCATTCTTTGATTCTGTCCGTGGTCATGTTTCATCGATTTCAAGTCGTATCCCCCTACCTTGCGCCACACAGTTGATCTCTCCAAATTGCACAAATCCCGCGTCGCACAGACATGTGGGTGCCATGCTAGCCCCCTCTGGATAGCACACCCCATGCCCTCCACACGCAGCAGCAGCACCAGCAGCACCAGCAGCAGAGGAGACGCCACAAAATGCGTTGCATGCTGCCTCCTGACGTTGCGGCACCAAGGCACAGCCAAGCGGCAGCGTGAAGCAGTTGGCATCAAAAGAGAGAGGCTGGCATGCTTCAACAGGCAGCTGGCCCGAGAGGAAGTTGCTGGAGAGATCCAGGCTGCGTGCAGCAAGTGGTGTGACTGCAGATCCTGTGAGGTAGTTGTGGGAGAGGTCCCTGCAGGGGGGAGGGGCAGGTGCATCGGGAAGGACGCATGGAGATCACCTCATTGCATCCACAATGGAAAAAGAGTTCAAGGAGCGAAGGTGCGATAGGTTATTGAGTAGCATGGGTGTATGGATGAGGGAGAAGAAGAGTACGGACATGGAAAGGTAGAAAAGGAGAACGTGGGGTGGACGAGAAGCGGAGGGGAGGGGGAAAAGGAGGTGAAAGGAGAAGACAAGGCAGGAGGCAGGAAGAGGAGATGATGAGAAAGAAGAGCCATATCAGGGGATGGTGGGGTGAGAAGGGGGAAGTAGGAGAGGAAGAGAGATGACGAGGAAGCAAGTAAAAGAATGTGGAGGTGGAGGATATATGAAGGACGCAAGCACGGCAACCATGAGCATGCATGTGGTGCTGTCAAAGTCGCTTTCCACAAAATCTATAGTGCAAGCTTGGTTGGCACGTCCCAGAACCAGCCACGTGGATTCCAATTGGTGCAAATTCATAATTTTATTAGTTCGTTTAGTTTTGGATAGTGTTCGATGCATGTCCGGCCGTATGGTTGGCAGTCTCGCCGACCGTATCCTCAAAGAAAAAATTGCACCGTGCAATTTGCCAACTTGCACGTCGTCATTAAAAAAAAAAAAAAAACGTGGGCTTAGACTACTTAAGTCTACAGCGTAGTGTGGAAACCCTATCGGGTGCAAAAGCGCAGCACATTCGTTTAGCCAGTTATTATGTTATTCTTTTATCGTTGTGACTAGAAAGCATGCACGGCACAGCAGGTGCTGCTGTTGGCTGACTGACAGCATGATTTTGGGAGTACAACGAGTGTGCGTGTGTTGTGGAAGCAAGAATGTCCCAGTGGGTACCTTTGGTCTTAGTGGTCACGGGTTCAACTCTCATCGGCAGCACCTTCTCTTCTCATTATGCCGAACATGACACTCCCACACTCCACCACACTCACCCACAGTGAAGTGTGGTCACAGTTGGCATTGCCATCTGTCCACCCATCCCATACTCACCTTGTTGGCTCCTATGGTGTGCCACATGCTGCCATGTAGGCTGTTGTTCCAGCCTGGCCCACATGTGCAACATGTGGCCTCAATTGCTAGCTTGGCAAGGTTGGCTAGCCCTGCCCTCAGCTTTGAGGTGCTGCAGCTAGCCTCAAGAGTTCAGCCACATAAATGTGGCTTCCCACTTCTCTAGAACTCATCCTTGGAAAGGACATTGCTCTAGCCTTTCAGGCTTGTACCATCTTCCTACTAAGGATATATTGTTCTTCTCTCATTGTGCCTCAAGTTCACCGATCCTCATTCTACATGCTATCAGAGCAAGGCTTCTAGCTTAGTGAACGTTGCACACTTCATGGCTCAAGTTGAAACGCCTCTCGGTCGGCACACCCTTCCCACCTTGGAACCAGATGGTTCCAACTTCATTCCATGGAAGAAAAAGATCTGCTACATCTTCAATGTCCTCGGGCTGATCTCCCTCCTTGGAGATCCCGAGGTTGCTTCGCGTCCTTCAATCTCCTCTTCCACAACCAGCGGTGGAGAGACTACCGAAGGCAACAGCGGTGCAGCCCCTAAGACAGCCCATTCGATTGCTTCGCTGCCGGATGAAGAAAAAGAGGAGCATGCATACTATCTTCTCATGTCAGCCGTCCATCCTCAACTATCGCTCACTCTTGCTCAAGCCAACACGACAAAGGATATGTGGGGATGCATCATGGCGCGGTTCGACTGCATGGGCAACCATGCACAAGTGGCTCTCCTCCGGGATCTCATCACTACACGGATGGACCCAACAACAAGTCTTCGCTCCTACTTTGATCGAGTTGGAAACCTTACACACCAACTCAAATCTGCCGGCTTTGAGCTACCATCATGGGTGGTGGTAATCTCCATCATCCTCAACCTTCCGGACTCGTTCAAGACCCTTACTGAAACCATTTGCACCGTGAAAGACATAAAGTCTATGACGGTTGAATACCTACAGTCACGCCTACTCGATGCCGATTGGGAGCGGTCACAATCTGGTACAAGCCGTAACATGGAGGGTGCATACAACCTCAATTCCCAGCCCTCCCACCCTCTTCGCTCCGGTTCACGCCAGTCGCCCACCTGCCGTTACTGCAAGAAAACGGGTCACACCATCGATGAATGCTTCAAATTGAAGAAGAAGAAAGAGCTTGAAGAAAGCTCTAAACGGGAGAAATCCGTCTTCCAACCCTCGGTGCATGTCTCCACCAGCTCCTTTGCTGAAGCTACTCCGACCCCCACACCACCTCCTGCCCCATCAACCCCTCAGTCTGTACCTGATTCCCGGTACGTGGACATTGCTGTCAGCACCAGCCACCACCCCATCTTCTCCACATGGACTCCTCTCGTCGCTGCTGTCTTCATTCTCACCATCCTCCTTCTCCTCCTCCTCTTCCCTTATGGGGCTCCCTACGCATCGGCATTCACGGCCTCCTCATTCAATATGGAGCGGACTTCGTCGTGGCTGGTGGACAGCGGCGCATCCTCCCATATCTGCTCGGATCGTTCGCTGTTTTCGTCTCTCAAGAAGCCCAACGAAGAGATCCTTGTTCGTTTTGGTGGAGGAGAGACTTACAAGGTCTTGGGAGTCGGCACGGTGGTGGCTACTCTTCGGTCACCAACATCGGAAACCACCATTCAGCTTGACAACGTTCTATTTCTCCCTTCATCAGTTCACAACCTGCTCTCTGTTCGTGCGCTTGGTGCTGCCGGCGTTGCCGTCTCGTTCCCCGCTGCTGGGCGCGTTGTTCTCACATCTGATGACGTTCCTATTGGCGAGGGCTACACCCGCAACAATCTATTTTATCTTCAACTGCATCATGGGAGCAGTGCTGCTCCTTCTATCAAGCCAACTGCATGTCCAGCCTCCACCACCACCTCCTCGTACCTCTGGCATCGTCGTTTCGGGCATCTCAACATGCAGGCCTTGTCAACACTTCATCGGCAGCAGCTGGTCACCGGTCTTCACCTCTCCTCCACCTCGATTCCCCCCTGCATCTCGTGCTATCGTGGGAAACAAACACGTCAGCCATTTGGCGTGTCCCATTCTCGCACCACAGCCCCACTCCAACTCATTCACTCAGATATTGCTGGACCGCTTTCATATGGAACTACCATTGGCGGCGCTCGCTACCTTCTCACCTTCATCGACGACTACTCCCGCCACATTACAGTGTATCTCCTACGCCACCGGTCGGAGGCACTTTCATGCTTCAAGGCTTACGTCACTCGGGTGCACAACATGCATTCCCCACACACCATCAAAACCTTTCGCTCTGACGGTGCCTTGGAGTTCACTTCCAAAGCCTTCACTTCATTCCTTACAGCTCATGGCATCGCCCGCCACCTCTCCACGCCATACACACCTGAGCAAAATGGAGTAGCTGAGCGGGCCAACCGGACTTTACTTGAGATGGTCCGTTCCATGCTCCATGATGCACACATGGACAAAGGCTGGTGGGGTGAAGCCGCTCTTACTGCTGCCTATCTTCGTAATCATGCCATTAGTCGGGGTGGTTCAACTTCTAAGACTCCCATGGAACTATGGACCGGTGCATGTCCGGATGTATCACACCTCCGCATCTTCGGTTCACCCGTCTCGGTCCTCATTCCTTCCCAACGGCGTTCTAAGCTCGACGACCGAAGCACGGCCGGCATCATGGTTGGATATGGTCATCTCGACGGCACCAAAGCTTACCGCATCTATATCCCATCTCAGCACCTTGTCATCCTTTCTCGTGATGTCATCTTCATGGAGCCCTCTGCACCGCCTTCCGACGACTCTCGCGACCCTCCATCGTCATCTCCACCCACATCCTCCTCACTACCTCCTCCTACACACCCTTCTTCCTTGGACCCAATCTCCCCTCCCTCTCCTTCCCCCACCATACCTTCCTCCACCAACCCCCACCCACAATCCCCAAACCTGCCCGCACCAGCCACATCTTCTCCTCCTCCATTGTTTTCCAACCTTCCTCTGCCCTCGACGCCGCAAGACTTTCACCTTCCATCCTTCTCTCTACCCTCTTCGCCTCCCCCTCCCCATTGCACGACTCGCTCCTCCCCGCCATCCCCCTCAGCTCTTCCCGATCCTTCCCTTTTCTCCTTCCTCAAGGTCTTACCATCCCCTTCCGAACCCATTGACTTCACTCTTCCTCCTCTTTCCAACACCTCTGCCAATGCTGCCCTTCACCATCATTACGAACCTCAAACCATTCATGAGGCTCGTACCGGCCTTGATGCTGCCGAATGGATCAAGGCTGCTGATGCGGAACTCGCTGCCCTGCACGCTAATGACACCTACAGCATTGTTCCTCGACCACCCAAGTGCAAGCCGATTCCATGCAAATGGATTTTCAAGGTCAAGGAGAACGCTGATGGTTCTATTGAACGCCGCAAAGCCCGCCTTGTTGTCAAAGGCTTCAAGCAACGTGATGGTGTTGATTTTCATGACACCTTTGCTCCTACCGTCCGCTTCGCCACCCTCCGCTTGTTTCTCACCATAGCTGCCGCTTTCAACCTGGACGTCCATCAGCTGGACATCTCCAACGCCTTCCTCAACGGCACCCTTGATGAGATTCTCTACATGATGCAGCCTCCCGGTTATGACCTTCCGGCGGTCCATGGTGTTGAGCAAGTTTGTCTCTTGCACAAACCGCTGTACGGGTTGAAGCAAGCTCCGCGATGCTGGTACCGCAAGCTTCGTGAGGAGCTTGCTGCCTTTCACCTCTTTGCTGCTCGTGCGGACCCCGGCCTCTTCATTGCTCCTCCTCACTCACCTTATCGGCCTACAGCTGCATCCTTCTTCATGCTTCTCGTCTATGTTGACGACCTCATCATTCTCTCCTCCTCCTCCTCTCTTCTTGCCTCATTCAAGCATGCCCTTTCATCTCGCTTCAAACTTCGTGACCTCGGACCTCTCTCCTACTACCTTGGCTTTCACATCACTCGTGATCGAACTTCCCGCACTCTCCACCTTCATCAATCCAAATTCATCACCTCCATTCTAGACACCTACTCCTTCTCTCCACTGAACCCCGCTGCCACTCCCATGGACACAAAGTTTCAGCCACCCGTGACTTCCTCCCCGCACTCCTCCTCCTTCCCTTACACCTCGTTTGTCGGCTCCATCATGTATGCCATGGTGGGGACCCGTCCCGACCTCGCATATAGCGCTGGAGTTCTTGCTCGTCACCTTCACGATTGGTCTACTCCTCACGTCTCGGCTGCCAAACGCATTGCTCGCTACTTGAAAGGGACTACCTCCCTTGGGCTTCTCCTTGGTGGCATTCCCGACACCCTCGAACTTCATGGCTGGTGTGACGCCTCTTGGGGACCGGAGGGGGAGCTGCGTCGCTCCGTTACGTGCTACTTGTTCTTCCTCGGTCCGTCACTCATCTCTTGGCAGTCCAAACGCCAAGCCGTCGTTGCTACCTCTTCATGTGAAGCTGAATATTACTCTCTGGGCGCCGTGGTGCACGAGGCATTATGGCTTCGTTCGCTCTTTACTGCAGTTGGACTTCCCCCTACCGGCCCCACCCGTATCTCGTGTGACAACAACAGTGCCATCATTCTCGCCAAGGACGATGGCGTCTTTCGTCCCAAGGCCAAGCACATCGACATCAAGCACCATTTCATTCGCGATCATGTTGCCGACCACTCCATCACCCTTCACTATGTTCCTACTCAAGACAACCTCGCTGACATTGGGACCAAGCCTTTGCCCCGTGACCCTTTTCTTCGCATCCGTGGTCTTCTCGGTCTCACCCATGTTTCCTCTTGAGGCCCCCTACCCCGGGGACATCCTTGAGGGGGGGTGTTGTGGAAGCAAGAATGTCCCAGTGGGTACCTTTGGTCTTAGTGGTCGCGGGTTCAACTCTCATCGGCAGCACCTTCTCTTCTCATTATGCTGAACATGACACTCCCACACTCCACCACACTCACCCACAGTGAAGTGTGGTCACAGTTGGCATTACCATCTGTCCACCCATCCCATACTCACCTTGTTGGCTCCTATGGTGTGCCACATGCTGCCATGTAGGCTGTTGTTCCAGCCTG